TTTCTGCAATTATACATCCAGTCAAGCTTCAATGCCATAGATAAAACTTCCGCAGAAGGAACCTTTTAAAAATAAAATTATTTTCAAAACCCTAGAAATGATAATGATAATGCAAGAACTGTTAATTTCGAGATATCTTTTTTTTGTCGAGGAAGTAGAGAATGGATTGGAGGAGGATAATTTATATCAATTTTTTGAAGCAAATAACAAAACAAATGTTTTTAATAATTCCCCATGTTAAAAGAGTTATTTATTAAGTATAATACCGCAATCCCCTCATCTACCCTTGAGCGCGTTTTTAGTATAGCTAATGCCGTATTAACTGCCAAACGTTCCTGTCTATCAGATGAAAATTTTATTAAAAATTAATAAGAAAAATTTTTTATATAAAAATATCTTTTTATTTGCTATATTATATTGAATTTATAATTATATTATCAAAATAAAACTATAATATTTTTTAACATGTGTAAAATAATGTGTTAAAAAATATAAGACATTTATTTATATTAGATTAAACTTTTAAAAAAAATTTATCATAAAATTTTTAACGGTTCATGAACGCGTTCGTGAACGTGAAAGCTTCTTTTTTTTGAGTGAACTTGAACGCGTTCGATTTTTTTAGAAATGTTTACAGCACTATTTTTTAGCCTTTCGTATCATGCAGCCTTTCAACTTATAGACCTTGCGCTTTGTCGATGTTCCTATGGTATAAATATATTATATTAAGATTTTTTAAATTTATATTTTTTTCAGATATCTACAGAGGTAAATTAAAGAAAATACTTTTATATCGGCCCAGCGACAGTTCTGTAAAAACATAAATAGGTTGAGAGTTATCTATTTTTAGACCCCATCCGGATTTTTGGCTCATTTTATAATACTTTTTATTTTTTAACAAATTCACGAAGTCTTGACCGGGTTTTGTGTTCTGAGTCTTAAATGTTGTAAGGTTCAGAATCATTTCGAATTAGGTGAAATAAACTGAACCCAGGTTAGGTCCAGAACACTGCAATTAAAAAAAATTAATTATTAAGCTGAATATTTAAAAGAAATTTTTTTAACTTAATATATATATAATTGGCTCAAATTGAGCCATTAACAGCATTACTGAGATGTACTTTGAAAATAGATTGAATGGGTATTTTTCCAATTCTTTAATACACCATATTTTATTCATTAATATTTTGTAGTTTATATATCTATTATAATAATCCTCAAAAAACGTCAATCAAATTTAACCAATAGTGTTTTTTTTTAAATATTTGTCCAATGATAATCATCATAGCAATTTTAAGCCAATTGTAATTCCCATGTGATTTGTAATATGGCGAATTTCTTCGATCTATTGCTTGGTTTAGCTGATAGCAATTACAAATTTAAATATATAGAAGTGATGATGGCACTTTCAGAAATAATAGTTTATATCAAAGTAAATTTTTAATATTAATAAATAATTTTTAATTATTTTAGAATTAGAAAATCAAACATTTTAGATTGCACAAGAATATTTTGAGAAACATGGATTTCCAAACTGCCTTGGCTCATTAGATGGTAAGCTCATAAAAATCAAAAGTCCTGTAAAATCTGCCATTTTTTCAAATATAGATCTTTTAAATCTATTGCTTAGTTTAGCTGATAGCAATTACAAATTTATATATAGATGTGATGGTGGCACTTTCAGAAATAGCAGTTTATATCAAAGTAAATTTTTAATATTAATAAATAATTTTAATTATTTTAGAGTTAGAAAATCAAATATTTTATATTTTGAGAAACATGGATTTCCAAACTGCCTTGGCTCATTAGATGGTATGCACATAAAAATAAATAGTCCTGCAAAATTAGATCTTTTAAATCAATTGATATCTTTTAACTAGGTAATTTTTATGCATAAATAAATAATATTTGCTTCTCTCTTATCTTTTCTGAAAATTTCGCTGAGCCCCGTGAATTTGAAGAGAAGCAAAAGGTTAGGGTAGAAGAAAGGACTGCGGGATGGCATGAAGGGACAGTGGTTCAACTGAAAAGTGCGATATTGTATAATGTTAGTCTGAGGGTATTATAAAAAACAAGCATGCCGACCAACTGAGGAATGCTCATGTACAAGCTAAGGAATTACCCATATTCTACATGCATTTCATTGTGTTGTATATTTTCTCATAACTTCATAATTGTAGAATGTATATTATTCATAACTTATTATAAGATTTTTGATTAAATGTATAACCTTTTTGTTTTACTTATATATATAATTTGACTATGATTGAAGTTAACATCCTATTATTTGTTAACTTTTATACAACTATATATCTTTTAATTAGGTAATTTTTATGCATAAGTAAATATTTGCATCTCTCTTATCTTTTCTGAAAATTTGGCTTTTCTACATACATTTGTTGCAAGGAGGAAATATAACTTCATAATTGTAGAATGTATGTTATTCATAACTTATTATAACTTTTTTGATTAAATGTATAACCTTTTTGTTTTACTTATATATAATTTGACTACGAGTGAAGTTAACCTCCTATTATTTGTTAACTTAGAATATCTTTTTATTCTATTGTAATTTAATAGCAATGTCGTAAATTTAATTTTATATTTTGTAACTAAGTAATAAATCATTTAGAAGGGTGGTGGTTTGTTTAAAATTTAAATTAGGATAAACATATTTTAGGCATGGTACTTTAATATGTATTCATGAATTTCATATAAATACCAGGAGCTAAACAGTAGAATGAGGTAAATCAGATATTTCCCCTTCATTTGATGATAATTTTAAAAATTTTCCCAACTATATAAAATGGCAAAAAAAATATGTACATATTAGAATGATTTAATTCTTATAAACCCCTTACATCAGGCCTATTTTCCTGGATACAAGGCAAAAATAAATTATTCTGGGTTTTCCTGGGCTTGGGAAATATTTTTCACAATTAATATGGACTTGGACGTAGCTTGAGAAACATTTTTCAAAATTAATATAGTCTTAGATTCGTGAAAAATTTTTAATTTTAAATATGAGCTAGAAATTGGCCTGAAGGTGTTAATTGAGATTGATTTTTTTATATATATTTAAATTTGTATTGATATTTTATATAACTTAACTGGTATTATTTGAACATAACCTATTTAATATGTTAGCCTGTAACCTTGTTTTTGTCTAATAGGAATGAGAATATTACTAACTATAATAGACCTAATTATAATAAGAGACAAAATTTTGACATTAGTAGGAATAATGGTAATTATAATTTTAGTAATGTTAATGACAACAGGAATAGGAATTTTAGTAATGTTAGAAACAATAATAATTATAATAGCAATAACTATAACTATAGAAATAATCAGTATAATGATGGCAACTATCAAAATTACAATTATCGGTATAACAATAGCAACTTTAGAAACTTTCATAATAATAATTATCAATCTAATAACAACAACTATGGTAGGAACAACGCCTGGTTTAATTATAATCAGAGAAGGCAGATTCAATGTGACGATCAAAATCATAATAATTACCGATCTTATAACAACAATTCAAATAATTATGAAGGAAACAACAGGTGGCATAATAAGAATAACCAAAGAAAACTAATATAATATGACAATCGTAATCGGTGGAAAGATTTTAATCAAAGAAAATAAATCCAGTATGATAATCAAACTTCTACAATAGCAATAATTGTAACAAGATCATTGAAAAAGTTGGGGAAAATAAAGTTGGCACTGCTAAAGACAATAATGAGAATGATTTCAATGTCAACAACCTGGCTGAAAATACAAACAAAGGTGATGACAGTGCTTTTATGACTACTTGGAAATTAAATAATGTTACTACTACTATGTAGGTTGACACTGGATCAAAGTATACCATCATACCTCATGATATGGCTAAAAAAATTGGTATAAGAGAAATGAAGAAATCTAGTTTGCGGCTTACAGCCTACGACGGAAACTTGATTAAAATCATCGAGACAACTCAAGTTAAAGTAAGTTATGAAGGAATCACTATATATTTACTAGCAGTAGTTTTAGGTCGAGAAAGAACGCGTTATTAGGAAGAATCTGGATCAATGCCTTTAAAAATATTTTAAATAAATTCATAGGAAATATCGACACCAATTATGAAGACGAAATTAATAAACGAATTAAAGATTGTGAATCCAAATTGACCAGCGAACCAATTAACAAAGTAAATGTCAAATTACATTTAAGATGTGACGCCCAACCTAAAATAATACCACCAAAACGTGTACCTTATTCAAAGATTGATCTTGTGGGCGAAGAACTGGGTAGATGGATACATAAAAAAATTATTGAGCCGGTAAAAGATGTGTGATGGGCGAGTCCTATAACCGGGGTTTACAAAGATGATGGGAGCATCAGGCTTTGCGCTGATTTTAAAGACAATATAAACCCAGCTCTAGAAGACTTCAGTTACCCACTTCCACGTATAAATGATCTTATAGCTAAACTTTTGGAAGGAAAGAAATTTACCAAAATCGATTTCAAAAATGCTTTTCTACAAGTTCCGATCGATAAAAATAGCAGAAATCTTTTGACTATATCCACACATAAGGGATACTACCAATTTACCAGACTTCCTTTTAGATTAAAAACTTAATCTGCTATATTCCAACAAATCATGGATCAGATTTTCGGTGATATGAAAGATGTTTTATTTTATATTGATGACTTATTAATAACTGAAAGTAACGATGAAGCACATTTAAACAACATCAAAAAGGTGTTTGAGAGAATATTATCGTATGGTTTAGTACCTAATTTGCCAAAAGCTTATTTTTTAAAAACAAAGTTAGGTTCCTGGGTTATGATATAGACGAGAGGGGGATTCATGTTAATCATGATAAAATTGAATCAATAATTAACATACCAGAGCCAAAATCAACTGCTGAGTTATCAATATTTCTGGGTATGGCTATAGAAAATTTTTGAATAACTTCGCTGATATTGCTGATCCGTTATATAAAATGGTCAACAAAGAAAGATGGGAATGGAACTTAGAACATTCCAGAAGTTTTAATGATTTAAAGAAGTTGATTAGTTTCCCGCCAGCATTGACATATTTTAATCCGGAATTACCAATTGGGATTGCGACTGATGCGTCCAAATCTGAATTAGGGGCTGTTTTATTTCACACAGAGAAAGATGGCAAAAAAAACCCTATAGCTTTTGCGTCTAGAGCCTTAGCAAAATCTGAAATAAATTATACCAATTTTGAGCGTGAGGCTCTTGCCATAATGTTCGCAATTAAACGATTTCAAGAATATTTGATTGGGGCTAAATTTACTATCACCAAGGACCATAAACCATTAGTCCATATTTTTACCAAGGGACTCAAGGACAATACTACCATGTCCTTAAGGTTACAAAAGTGGAATATAACTTTGGGGGGTTACGACTTCAACATAAAGTATAAAGCAGGTAAATACAATGTTGTTTCTGACTGCCTTTCAAGATTACCACAGAAATTAGTGATGATGTTATTGAAAATAAATTTGCTGATACACCTATTAATTTTAATAAAATAGGTGATGAAACTTATAAAGATTTAGAATTATCTCAAGTTATAAATGACATAAGGAATAATGAGCCTATAAAAAATAAAACATATGAAAATATGGAATTCGATCTCAGCGTTATTTAAGATTGTCTTTTTAAAAACAACAAAATTATTATTCCATCAAGTTTTAAAAAAAATGTACTGCAGACATTTCATGAAGGTCATTTGGGAGCAGGTAAAATCAAATCCTTAGCCAAAGATTTTATGTGGTGGTCTGGTATGAATAATGATGATTGTAATATTTATCACGACAATCCTAAGAAAATACAAAATCCATGGGTCTCGGCGACTAAATCATTTGAAAGGATCCACATAGATTATGCGGGTTCATTTTTCACAAAAAATTGGTTAATAATTGTCTATGCATACAGTAAATTTCCAATTATAATTCCTGTTAAGAATATTACAACTGAAATTACGTTAAAAGAAATTTATAAAACTATTTCGCTATTGGGTATACCTGATACTATAGTTACGGACAGTGGTACTAATTTTACGAGTAAAGATTTTTGCAATGATTACGTCATAAGACATATACTAACATCCGCGTACCACCAGCAGTCCAATGGCCAGGTAGAACGTAAGGTGAGGACGTTTAAGACACATATGAAAAGAAATATTAAGATTGATTTAGACACTTCACTCGATAAATTCTTATTCAACTACAGAAATACACTAAATGAACAACAGGAGTTGCACCTTCTAAAAGAATGTTTAATCGTGATATTGAAACTAAATGGGACTTATTTAAACCGATAGAAGAAAAGGAAATTGGAATTGATAAAACTTTACCATTTAATAGAACTTTTAAGGGGATTTTGTGTGGTATAAAATACAAGGGAATGATACATGGGACAAAGGGACAATCATTTTGAAGGAAAGTGACATCATGTTCCAAGTTAATACAGATAAAGGTTTTACAAGAAAACATCTGAATCAATTAAGAAAAAGAGAATGCTATAACACATTTGTATACCACGACTCTCCTAAGAAGGAGGGAAGTGTGGACAAAAATATAAAAACTAATGATAAAAATATTGTAACACCGATTTCTAGACCGATACGAGTTAAACAAAAACCTGTGTTTTTAAAAGATTATATAACTTAAAATATTAAAATATGTAAAAATAAATTAAATACTTAAAAAAAATAAATTGGACACTAAAACGCGAAAACACAAATATAAAAAAAAATGAAAACGCTAAAAATATTATATAACAATCTTGTTGATTTATCATTCTTCACCCATTCTTATATCCAACTTGATGAATTATTATTTATAATTATTCGTGTCTGACTAATGATAATAACAATTTTGAGAATTGATAATAATAACAACTGAGTATTACAAGCAAGCTACATGACAAAATTACGATACATGAGGACAACTTTCGATAAGGATATCAAGCTTACGATTTAAACAAACCGACGTTTGGGACAAGCCAACGATTACAATGACTTATGAACGACTTGAACAATCATAATGAACAACCATTTGAACGACTTTCTATGACTTAGATGAATTATGGGAAGGCTTTTTAGAAGAGGGAGAATGTTAATTGAGGTTGATTTTTTTATATATATTTAAATTTGTATTAATATTTTATATAACTTTAATTGGTATTATTTGAACATAACCTATTTAATATGTTACGATTATTTTAGCCTGTAACCTTGTTTTTGTTTTTTATTAGTTAGATAATATAATAAAAAATACATTTTATTATAATGAATTTTTAGTACCGAATCCATAGTTATCGTTATATAACAGAAGGCCTGATCAGGCCCATGAAACTTTCATATTTGTGACTTTTTATATATTTTATTTTAGTTCTCAACTATCAAAATTATTATTGTCTTTGGCAGGTTTGAGAAAAATTTCCCAAGTGCGTGGACCTGGCTTGGGAATTTTTTTTAATATTAGACATAGGTGTAATATTTAACAAAGAATATTTATATGGCCCTCAGGTAAAAGCTAATTTAAATATATTTTTATTCAAAAAAATAGTATTCACTCTTAGTCTTAATGGTTTGACCTTTGTCTGAAGTAGGGATGAACTGGATTAAAATAGAATAAAAAATAGATATGGTTTTTAGAGATTTACTTATCTCCAGGTTTGGGAAAAAATTTTGAAAATTACTATGGGTTGGCTAGGCTTGAGAAAATTTTTTTATAAAATTATTATAGGTTGGGCTGAGCTTGGAAAATAATTTTATAAATTATATTGGGCTGGGCTTGCAAAATTATTATGAGCATGGATGCTTGTGAATTTTTTTATTATTAACTATGTGTCAGACATTGGCCTAAAACAAATTTTTTTGCAGGCCTGGGCTCGGCCTGATCAAAAAACAAAGGCCCATGAAAATCTGATTTTGATTGTATTTTAAATTCATTATAATATTTAAATATTTTATTTCAGTTCTCAACTACCAAAATTATTATGATCTTTCATTGGGCTTGAAAGAATTTTTTTAAAATTATTGGATTTGTACTTTGCCTGGGAATTTTTTTTAATATTAAATTTTGGTATAAGTAGTGCTGTGAAGTAACGTCAAAAAAGGAACGGCGTTACTAACTGTAACATTTTGAAGAAATTTTTAGGATTGAGTGATTAGAACCGTTGTCAAATAAAGAAAGGTTAGAACTAAAATGATACTAAATCAGACTAATATCCTCGATTATATATACTTTTCTATAATATTCGTCAAATAAAGAAAGGTTAGAACTAAAATGATACTAAATCAGACTAATATCCTCGATTATATATACTTTTCTATAATATTCGTCAAATAAGAAAGGTTAGAACTATGATACTATAAGATAAAAACATAATCAAAATAAATTAATGTAAATTAAAATTAAAAATTAAAGATTAAAAAAAACTAAGTTCGTAAAATCATAATTTAATCCTTTATTCAAAATTATAACATTATCAAATTAACAAAATTATAAAAGTCAAAATAATAAAAAAGATTAATAAAAAAAAATAAAATAAAATACAAAAAAGTTAATAATTATAAAAGATCATCTTGTATGGTAAAAATTGGCCTTTTTATATATTTTCAATCTTCTTTATAACTAATATTCATAACTATTCAAATATAATATTTTTATCACGCGTTATAATAATAAATCCAAAAGAATTCTTTATGCAAATTAAATATAAAGTACAAATTACTAATCTAAAATTTACAACACCTCCCTACTTAAATTAGACCCAACATTCCGCGAATAATCAATCTTCTTTCGATCTCGACTTATTCTTCTTAATCTTTGCTGTCTTCTAAGTTCTAACGAAGGCTGACTCTTGTCTAGTATTCTTAGTTTCGAACGACCGTTTGTATCCGATTGTCGCTTGAAATTTTTGAATTCTATCTTCTGTCGCTTGTCACCCTGTGCAACGATCAGTTTTTTATCTCTGTAGGCCATTGACGAACTTGATACACGCCTGTCTTCCACTATCCACGATTGATGAACGATTATCGATGACATCCAGTTTCTTTTTCATCTCTTGTTTTTTGCTAGTCTGTCTTAATTTTTTTACAATTTATCGTAGCTTGTTTTCTATCATTCTCTTGTAATCCACGATTAGCTCTTTATCTCGATAAACAATTGATTGGTCTGCGATAAACGATTGTTTTCACGAATTCTTGTTCCTATGATTGTCGATTTCCGTATCTTAGACTAAAGTCTCGGTAATAATTGGCTATATTGGTCAACGATTAACGATTGTAGCATAACGTCTTGACCACTTGTTCTACCTAGTCGCTTGTCCAGATATCCACGTTGTCTTAAGATCTCTTATACGATAATGATTTCTTGTATCTTTTGATCCAAAATAAAAAATCCGATCTCTAATTGAGCTCGATTGCGGCATAAATTTTCTAATGACGAAAAGCCGTTTCTCTTTATGAAGATTTTGGTTAATCAACAACCTGATATTTTGCTAAATATTATCAACTTAAATAACAGTTAACCGTATATCTTTAATAAAAATTTATAACGAATTTCTTTTAGCTACATTGATCACTTGTACGTATAACGATATCTTGTGACGAATTCCTTTTAAATAAACGAATAATTCTATTCTTTTTCGAATTACGACCATTGATATTGACACCATGTTTCATTGACCTAATTCTTTGTCTTTGTGTCGATCGTCATTTCATACATCCCCTTCCCCCTTTATTTAGAATCTCCTTTCAGAGTTAATTAGACTGAATTATTGTAAAGGGCCGGTCTCCTCCACTCTCCAACACCAATGTAACATTTGGATGTTTTTAGAAGGATTGGGTGATTAGAACCGTTGTCAAATAAAGAAAGGTTAGAACTAAAATGATACTAAATCAGACTAATATCCTTGATTATATATACTTTTCTATAATATTCGTCAAATAAGAAAGGTTAGAACTAAAATGATACTAAATCTTTATTAAATAATAAGATAAAAACATAATCAAAATAAATTAATATAAATTAAAATTAAAAATTAAAGATTAAAAAAAATTAAGTTCGTAAAATCATAATTTAAACCTTTATTCAAAATTATAACAATATCAAATTAACAAAATTATAAAAGTCAAAATAATAAAAAAAGATTAATAAAAAAAATAAATAAATAAAATTCAAAAAAATTAATAATTATAAAAGATCATCTTGTATGGTAAAAATTGGCCTTTTTATACTTTTTTCAATCTTCTTTATAACTAATATTCATAACTATTCAAATATAATATTTTTATCACGCGTTATAATAATAAATCCAAAAGAATTCTTTATGCAAATTAAATATAAAATACAAATTTAACTAATCTAAAATTTACAACACTAACGACGTTACTTTTTTTGAAGAAAGGGAACGCCATTCGTTACCTTTTTCATGAGGTAACGAGTAATGGTAACGCGTTTCTTTTTTTTGAGTAACGGTAACGCAAAACGTTACTGTTACTTTATATTTTTTCTTAAAAATATCAACAAGAAAAATATATTCTATTGTATTATAAAATTAGTTTTATTTATTTTTTGATTCTTAATATTAATTTAAGCTGTTTAATTCATTTCAACCACTTCCTTCATTTTTATTTTAAATTCTCGTTGTTAAATTTTCTGTCGAAATTAATAATCAATCAAAATTCAAAGTAAATGTTAATAATGATACTATTATTCTTATAATTTATTTTAATATTATGTCCATAGTACTTACTTCTTCAGATGAAGATGATCTAACCCTTCCTTGGGCCCCAATTTGATATATTTTAAACCAATAAAGAAAATTAATGGAAGTCTACACTTTGTAAATGTAAATTATATCCCAACGCAAATATTTCAACCTCAATATCCAGCAGTTCAAACTTAAAAAGCATAGGTAAAAAGATGAATCAATATATCCTTATTTTAAACATTACTTTAATAATAGTATAATATTCTTTCATAATTTGAAAAGCTTAATCATGGAATTAAAATATAAGTAGTGCTGTGCCGATATTAAATAGCGTTTTCCAAAAATATCGGATCGGGCCGATACCTGTAAAAAAATCGATTCGATCTTTTAACTTTTCTTTTTTTTGTATGTATATTTATTTTATGTTATTATAATATTTTCTAAATAATTTTTTTAAACAATGCAAAAGCACAACAAACTCTAAATTTTATTTCTTTTTTAAAATAGATTTATAGTATTTTAAAAGTTTTTTTATAAAAATAGAAAGGAACAGCCAAAGTTTTATTTATTTTAAATCTTTTTAAATAATAACGCCAA